TTTCTTTCTTTCTTTCTTTCTTTCTTTCTTTCTTTCTTTCTTTCTTTCTTTCTTTTTTTCACTCTCCTTCCACCTCCCGCAACCCTCCATGTGAACGATGTCCTCTTTTATGGACGGATGCCTCGTCAACAGAAATTTTTTTTTTTTAAACGTTCATGGCGAAAGGGCATATACATATTTACCTAAAAGGACTCTTCATACAATTTTAAAGCCCTTTCCTTTTCCACCCCTATCTCCCATCTCTCTCTCTCTCTCTCTCTCTCTCTCTCTCTCTCTCTCTCTCTCTCTCTCTCTCTCTCTCTCTCTCTTGCTCTCTTATTCTTCCCAAATATATTTTCCTCTCGTTTCACTCCCCCCCCCAACTCCCTTTCTTTGTCTATTTAAATATTTTCCGCTCTAATCTCTCCGAGTCTCCCTTCCTCTTTCCCTCTCTTTCCTTACTCGCTTTCCCATTCTCCCCCTCTTCCCCCACTCTCTCACCCGTTCTCCATCCCCTTATCTATTTCTCCCGTTCTCACATTCATGCCATACATCTCGACAGGCCTTTTCGTGTCTCTTCTACTTTTCCTAAAAAAAAAAAAATCAAGTGTCTTTTCAGCTTCGTTTTGAGGGAGGAAGGAGGGAGAGAGAAAGGAGGGGGAGAGGTAGGGAGGGTGGCGGTATGGTAGCAGAGGGGGCTAGAAGGAGGATATTTGTGGGTGGGTGGTGGGGGTGAGGGGGCGAATTCAGAGTTTGACGGGGGCACCTTTCTTCGTGAACACACCCCTGATTTAGTTTGTGAAGCTGGCAGCTGTGCAATCTCTAGAATCGAGACTTAAATTGGTTAAAATCTATTAACTCTATAAAGAAAGCTGTACAGGTAAACAGAAGAAAGGAGCAGGACGGCAAAGTACGAATATGATAGATACCGACTTCAATTTGATGCGATAGAGAAGAAGAAGAGTGGGTGGTTTGCGGGTGCTCTGGTGTGGTTTGCTCCTTCTTTCCTATCGGACATCTATCATCCTTATCTCCCCTCCTTCTTTTTTGTGTTTGTTACTCTCTTGTAACTCTTCTAATCTTCGGCACTTATATGACCCATTGTGCAGCAAGTGCTGTAAAACTCTTACTAAAACTAAAGAGAAGGAAAGGACTGAATGAAATCAATGCCCTCGTTGCTCTAAATGACATTTACTTCAATGTTTTGCCCCAACATGACCACGAGGTAAGAACCCAGATTCTCGACTCTCATCTCCACTCTGCTTAGCGTGAAACAAATAATGTCTCGCAATGTGGTGAAATTGGGAGCTCAAAAAACATAACGAAATGAAAGAAACCGGCTCTTTTCCGCCCTATGAGGAATTTTTTAACAGTTCTGTTTTTTTGGCTTTACATATTTTCACTGGGACAAATATGACGCGGGGG